CGAGGGCACTGCACTTTCTTTAGCAAGAGCACTGCATTACACAGACTAATGAACCTCGTGTCGTAAAAAACTGTATGCAGTGTTTTTTCGGTACTGTTTTTGCTCTAGTTTTTTAACCGTTTATCGGAATGAGGCGTATGATATACCGTTGGAAAGCTATGGATTAGGCGCAACTTCGCCATGTTGAACACTTTTTGAGATTCCTTGCGGTGTAAGAGCAGTTTCAAAAACGGTGCGGCAGATGATGAGTGGCAACGAGTGTATTTTCATGATTTTTTTCTAAACCGCTCATCAGAATAAAGCAAATGATACACCATTGGATAGATATCGTCGCGGCACATCTTTTTCATAACTATTGTTTTCTCCAATTCGTTACGGTTTAAGAGAAGTTTTAAATTTACTAAATCGTGGAATTCTGTTTTTTTTTTGAAATTTTTGCAATTTTCGGTACTGTTTTCGCTCTATTTTTTGAACCGTTTGTCGAAACGAGGCGTGTAATATGTCGTTGGAAATCTATGGGCAACGCACAACTTTCATATGTAGAAATGTTTTTGAGATTCCTTACGGTTTTAAGTTAATTTTGAAAATCGTGCGGCGGACGACGAATGGCAGCGGTTGTTTTTCATGAAATTTTTACAAACCGCTGGTCGGAATGATTTAAAGATACGCCGTTGGAAAGATATCGACGAGGCGCAACTTTTTCATGTAGAATACTCTCTCTAATTCTTTATGGTTTAAGAGGAATTTCGAATTTACCAAAATACGGACACTCTGTTTTTCACGACACCCAAATCGACGTGGGTACTTCATCCGACTGAAAACCACACTCCATCGAATGAAAAACCGCAGTGCATCATACGGGTAAGAGAACTGCATGGTTTCTTTTTTGTGGGACCTAAATTTTTGAAGACGAGGAAGAAAACTGCATTGCTTTTAGACTGAAAACCGCACTGCATCAGACTGTCAAGCGCACTACATTTTTTTAATGCATTTTTGTTTCAAATGTAGTGTACTAAAAAGTCCTTCATATTGAACTTCTTTCAAGATCAAAGTGGATCGCATTTGCTTGTTTTTTAAAATGCATTTTTAGACCAAAGTGCAGCACATTGGCATTTTAAAAAAATTCATTTTTGTTTTAAATGAAGTGTACCGAAAAGTTCTTCATAGTGGACTTTTTTGCAAGACCAAAGCGCACTGCATTTACATGTTTTAAATGCATTTTTCTTCGTAGTGGACTTTTTTACAAGACCAAAGCGCACTGCATTTGCATGTTTTAAATGCATTTTTGTTCTAAATGGTGTACAATTCCTCCAAAAATAATAAAAAGTGAACTCCTCTATTCATTTATTTTACAAAGTGAACTCCTTTGTTTTGCAAAGTGCACCGCAAAAGTTTTCTTAATGAGCTACATCGATTTTAACAAATTATACACCATGTCCTTACAAATTTGCCAAAAAACAAAATCCTCCAAAAGTAATAAAAAATACACTCCTCTATATATTTTTTTACAAAGTGAACTCCTTTGTTTTGCAAAGTGCATCGCAAAGGTTAACCACCGTGTTCATGTTTTGTCTGAACTCCCTTCCCCTTCTTAGGTGACAACACTACCCGGTCTGAAGAACTCCTTGTATTATTACCTATTCTCCGATAGCAAGATGCAATCACTTCATTTGTTTCTAGTCTAGCTGTAGAAAACATAGGCACAAAAATTCTGGATGATGGCGTTAATAGAGCATCAAATCTGAAAAACTAAAAGATGGTAACATTGGCAAGAAACAAAATAGGAAGATGTCCAAGGAGCTCACCCGAGACTGAGCTTTTGATGTTGTCGTCCCAGAATACACCTGCAAACTGCACGGACAAGAGCACCGAGTTGCACCACTTGGACATGGGCGTGGCCTTGTACTTCTTCCCCATGCCGTCAGAACCGCGTGCAATGAGCTAGTGAGCTGCATGTTCTGCAGACGCTGGACTGCACCACTTGGACGCAGGCATGGCCACACCATGAACCAGCGAGTTGCACGACTACGTTGCTGTCGGTGTTGTTCCTGCAGCAGATGAGGAGAGGACCACATTGACTGGGGCAGGGCAACACGGCTCGAGCAGCGGCTTGCCTCCATGTCGAGCAGTCGGTTTTATTTCTCGGCAGCTACCTCAGCAGATGATGCACGACAGTGATGGCAACAACTACTCCTCATTCAAAGGGACATGGCTACCAGCTGCTTCTAGGGGACACCCAGGAGAGCAGTTCGCCCAGCATCTTCATGCGGTGCACTCGTTCAGGTGCTGCAGTGCCCAGGAGAGAAAAATATATCTTCACAGAGGCAGAATAAAGCAAAACTTTAATAGTAAAAATAATTGCTCGCCGTGGGAGCTGCAATATATCTTCACAGTGCACACGAAAGAGCTGCACCGAAGGGCTGCAATGTATTGCACCAAGAGAGAGAAGAAAGGATGAAGACAATAATTGCTCGCCGTGGGCACTCGTCGGAAGATGCATTTGTCAAGGTGCTCACTGGAGCTCCAATTCATGTGGCGCATCAAGCTATCAAGGTTGGGGCCGACGACAAATCCGGGATGGGGACCGGGGAGGGAGGCGAAGGTGCAAGTCGTCATGCACCCCGTCTTTGCGGACTGCACACACATGGGCGCCGTACTGCACGGCGCTGCCGCCTGCAGTGCACGACAGAAGGTAGGTGGAAGAGGGGTTACCACCCTCCATCGATGTGGGATGAGCTGCCGGACCTGCAAAACAGAGAGGAGGGGGATGGATGAGTAGCAGGGGGAAAAGATGGCAAAATGACCCGGGCTAGCTGCCGGAGAGCCCTGCCACGCCACCACCACCGGAGAGGACAAGGAGGAGGACCAAGGAGACAACCACTGCCAGATCTGGCCGCGGAGTCAGCCTGTTGGTGCGCCATGGGAAGAGCACTCCCGGAGGTCGAGGCATCTGCCGCTGGACTGGAGCCTCACCCTCTTGCAGCCAACCGTCAGGAAGGAAGAAGAGAAGGGGCTGGCGGCGGCTACCGAATCTAAGGTGAGGCGAAGGGGCTGCTGTGGCTGGGGAGGCTGCCCAACGATGCGAAGCGTGGCAGGGGCGGGGCGAGCAATGTGTGTCAGGGGTGGCGCGGCGGCGGTGCCTGTAGAAGGTGGAGAAGGCGACGCGGCGCGGCGGCGTGCTAGGTGGTAGAAGGTGGACGTTGACCGGGCGGTGGCGGCCTGGGATGGAGCTAGGACGACGGTGGCGGGCTGGAATGGTGCTATGGCGACGGTGGCAGCACCGGTAGAAGGTGG